CCGAGCGATTTTTATACCATTCGATTCCTCTCACAGAGAAGAATCGAATGGTATAAAAATCGCTCGATTTGGATCACAGGATCACGAGATATTCGCATTTTTACATTAAAAACATATAAAAGACTGTAGTTAGAGATATTATGACGAATCAGGATATTTCGTGATTCCATGATCAGAATCAGATAAAATTTATATTATTCGAATCCTCTTATCGAGAGGAATCGAATGGTTTAAGTTTCATCCAATTCTGATCACAGGATCACTAGATATTCCAAATTCGTCACAATACCCCCAAGACTAAAATTCTTTTATTTTTTTTAAAGTTATTTGAATTAAGGTGTTTTGTGATACAGTGATCAGAATCAAATGATTTTGGTATCATTTGACCCAACTCAATAAGATGAGTCAAATAATACTAAAATTGTTCAATTTTGATCGATATATCATGTAATAAGATTAAAAATTGTTAAATTCGTCACAATACCCCAATCTCCCTTATAAAAATTTTTAAATTTTAATAATTTATTTATAATTTTTAGAAAAAATCTGCTTGTTACCAGTGGTAATACAGTGATATTGTAAATCACATGATATGATACTATATATATATTGTATTACATACATATATTCATATAAAAATATTTAAAAATGCACAAGTTCTACTTAAAAAGTTATATACTGTATGTACATATATATATATTTTAAACAATTATTTACAAGACAAAGGTGTAGAAAGGTAAAAAAAAAAAAAAAAAGAAAATTCTAAATTCTATATATGCTAAAATAGTTCTAATAAATTTTTTTTGAAATTAGAAGTTGGGTGTTTAAGGTAGATAGTGATAGGTGAAAGCTGATGGTAGAAAGACAGGTTTAAAGCTTGAGGTTAGTTTGAATTCTTTTAGTTTTTAAATTGTTTTGGGCTTGTTAGCGGTAAAATACAAATTACTTTACATAATTTTCTAGACGTATACACTGAATCTCTAATTAATAATATTAAAAAAAAACAACCTATAATGATATAGCACAATTACGGAAAAAGAAATATAACCATAAAAAAAAATACTACAAAAAAAAGAATATGTTCTGATAGTAGCAATAAAATAATGCTGTTTGGTGACGATAAAATATTTCAATTTGGTAATTAAATACAGCCTGGTAATGATGAAGTGCAGCCTGGTAATGATGAAGTGCAGCCTGGTAATAACAAAATACAGCCTAGTAACAACAAAATGCAGTCTGGTAACAGTAAAATACAGTCTGGTAACAACGAAATGTGGTCTGGTAACAACAAAATATAGCCTAGTAACAACGAAATACAGTCTTATAGTAACAAAATGTGAATTGGTAACAACGATAAAGTGCATCCTGATAATAATGATAAAATGCATCCTGTTAATCATGATAGCAATGATGAAGTGAATCCTGATAGCGATGATGAAGTGCATCATGTTAGCAATAATAAAGTACGATCTAATATTAGAAGCATAAATAATTTAAGGTCTATCAATAATAATAATTAAGATAATTTTTTTAATATTTTGAATTTTTTTAATAGCTTGAGTGA